TCAAGTCAAGTCAAGTCAGACTTGACTTGACTTGCCCAGCTCTGGGTACAGGGGAGCCGCAAAAATCTAACAATTAAACTTACACTCACTATTTTCTTCGAAAATATATGTGAGTTCCACAAAATAAAAAATTATTAAAATATTTATTATATGTATCTTTGATATTATCTTCATTAATATACATTAAAAATTCTTGTTGACTTGTTTTATCTAAATAAGCAATTATTTGATAAAGAAAAAAAATTTGTTTGTACTCAATGTTTTTTTTACTAAACTAATTTTCTTTTAAAATCATAAAACGAAGTTCAATGAAATGAAAAAAAAGAAGTTCTTTCAAATGACAACAAATAAAGCTCTTCATGTTAATTGTCAATCGGATTTACACGTTTGACAATTAAATTTTGTCGATTGAATGAAACAGTTGGTATTTGTTTTGAATCACATTGAAATGTTGCACTAAGAACTTCTCTTGAATAAGCTAAAAGACCACCTTTATAACCAATATCGTCAGCATTTGATTGATCAAAAAACATTAAAATTTTTAAATCTGCATCTCCAATATTTTCAATGTAATGTGGATAACCAGGTGGTATAAAATAAACATCATAATTTTGTAATGAAAATGTATGTAATTGATGACCATCATTAGGTAAAAGAATACTTATACGTGCATAACCATTAACAACCAAACCCATTTCAGCTGCTTCAGGACGCCAATATGGCTCACGTATACTTTGTGCTGAAATACAAAGCGATGACATTGAAACTAAAAATTATACTAAACATTATTATCTATATTTAGTTATTTTTTATTTACTGTTTTTAATTATCGGCCAATGTTTGTGTGATGCTATTTTAATTGATCCTTCAGGAAAAGTTAATGTAAATGCCCGTCGTTCAAAATCGAATTTATATTCATTTGAATTTGTAAAAACTCGATCATTAGCAACGTTTGTTATTTGTTTCATTTTTCCAATAAGTGTTGGTTCACCACGTTTGAGTTTGATTACATCTTTAAATGCACTATCAGGTAATCGAAATGTATTACCAAGTACTTTATCAGACCTACAAATAAATAAATAAACTTTCTTGTCGTAGTTAATGAATTTTAATGTTTTATACATAGGACCGAATGTCATTGAAAAATTAAATTCTTCTGGTAGTTCGTGCGATAAACCAATAATAAATTCACTGGTTCCATCTTTACGCATATTCTCAACGTGGTGAGCATAACCAGATGGAACAAAACAAGCTTGACCTTCAGTAATACCAAATGTATTATATTTACCATGATTACCAACAATGGTAATTAAAGCTGAACCATACTATAAGAAAAAAAAGTCTTGTTTTTACAAGTTTAAATAAATTCAAATATGACAACTTACTAAACAATAAATTATTTTATTAGCATTTCCATGCCAATGTGGTTCACGAACACCTCCAACTTGTAAAACAAGATGTTGAATAGATAATTTTTTAAGAATAGGAAATTCATTCGATGTTAAAGTACATAAATCACCGCACGTAGTTCTTTTGCTCAATCGTGGTTCGTTTAATGAAAACTTGATATTTATTGGTGTTGAAGTGGTGGAACTCATTGATTTAATCTAAAATTGATAAGAAACAACGAAGACAAAATAATATAATATATTGATAGGCATAAATCGCTTTTATTTTTTATTAAGATTGAAGTATTTCATTCAAACTTATAATTTTCATAAATTCATTTACTGTTGTATCAATGAAAAATAAATCTCAATAGATAATATAAGAAAATACGTTGAAATCAATATACAAACTCAATTATCATCAAATAATCGTAATTTAACACTGACATCGAATTTTGAAAATTTCAGAACGTTCTTTAAAATTATGATATTGATTTCCAATATGTTCTTCTGAATTTGATAATGTTGCACCACCGGTGTGACCTTGAACTAATACTCTTTCATAATCATATCAATATGCACCATATTCAATTTTACAACTGATTCAATCAATCTTATTTATATTTAAAAAACAAAGAAAACAATCACTTAGCTTTTTCATAAGCTTTGATGGTCTTAAGGTATCTTCTATCGTGCTTATGGCTAAAGCTTGTAATGCTCGATCCAAAAAATGAATTCATTGAATCGGAATCAATACGAAGCAAAGGATTATTTTAAAGACGTAGAATTTTACTTACTAAAATACCGTCATTCTGTACTAATATTTTTTGACGTTGACCATTTTGAACAAATTATTGAATAGACCATCGGATAATATTGTTATTCGTTATGATTCAATAAATGATTGACCTTCAATGAAATATATTTTTCATGCAAAAATTAATTATTTGATTTACTTAGTGAACGCCGTGTTTGAAAAAGATCAACAAAATGTATCAACATTTGATAAGCTGCTTTTAATAGATATTTATGATGATATTTTACGTCCCGAAAAATCTACAAGTTTTATATTGAATAGAAATGAAATTCTTTTTTGCAAGAATAAACTGCAATATCTTGTTCAAATTCTAAATCTTGTGTTTTAACACATTTGTCGAGTAAATCTAAATATTTTTGGTACTTCATTCATATATGGTATCGAATGTATATGTCCACAATTAACCGTTGAACGTTGAAGAAAAGAAAGAATAGATGCATCTATATGAAGAAATATATTTAAAACATAATTAAATAAGAAAACCTAACCAGAAGATTGAAATGTATCTAATAAGCTAAGATAACTCGTTGGTGTTGACGGTGATTCACTTGGAAGAATACTTGACTTTGTATCGGGGAAAATGTTGAAGATGAAGAAACATCAGCTATTGGGCGTAATATTCTTGTATATCGATTAAACCAATAAAGAAAAAAACAAAGATGTTTGATCCTCTATTTATGTTGTTTTTAAACAGAATAGGAAAATAATTTAATAGATAAATCATTTATATACTAACTAGACTGTGAATATAAGATGACTAATATATCTTAAATAGTACACGGACAAAAGATTTACTCTCCATTTATCGAAATGATGATAACAATTAACTTATATTTTAAACTAAGAAGACAATATTTTACTTGAATTACTAGATGTCACGAATATCCGAAAGCGAAGCAAATATTTTCTCTGATTGATTAAACGATTTGTCCATTCATTTTTTCGTTCTATCTATAAAAATCTACGCATTAAATCAATCGATTGATAGATAGAACATTATATTTATTCATTTATCTTTATATTTTAAATAACAATTAAAACAATGTCAAGTCAAATAGCAAATGCACCATCACGAATATCACGTTTTCCTAATATAAAATCAACTGTTATTCCAAATGAATAACCATCAAGACCAAATATCTGGGCGGTGATTCGACCTATATTTCCTCTATTTTCAAAATCGTCCTATTTTGTCTTATATTTTAATGAAAATTCCTATTTTCCCTATATTTTATCGAAGAAAGTAGAAAATTTCCAAAAACCTTTTAATTTTGCTATTGCCTCTAGACGAAAAAAAGTTTTTAATGTATATAATCATGTGTTTTGGATAAATTATTGTATTATAGTGATATTTGTTTAAAACAGTATTTTTCCTTTCGCCTGTTTAGTGGGCTGACCGAGAAATTGTTTAATACTAAATACACAATACAAAATAGTTCAAAAGAAAAATAACGTTCACAAAGTTATCATGCACTAGTTTCGGGATTTTAGCGAAGTTTTAGTTAGATATAAAAGCTGTATATATATATATACCCCTGGAAAAAATAAGTTTCACTCTGTATTTTGAGAATATTGTTACTAAAAGAACATATTTTTTTTCAAGTTAACGCCATATTC